GATTTTATTTAGTCATGAGGAGTCTTAAGCAAAGCCTGTGAGAAGTCAAAACCCTGCAAAAAAGGGACCCCCTCCCCCGAACTAATGGGGAAAGTATATGGGAGTCCTGGATTAAAAGGGAAGCCCTTCATGAAACGTTTTGCTTGGGATCTAAAACTATACACAGGATAATACACACATGTTTTTACCTTGAAATCATATAATTAATTGGTGCTAGACAACTTATTACAAAAGATTTTGAACTTTTAGAAGGAAAATAGCCCTAAAAGTAGACTTTGATGATGATGATCTATTTTGAAGGATATTTTCCTTGAATGGTACTTATAGTCATCATAACAACTTTTCTGATGCCTTAACTTAAAATAGTTAAAGGAAGTCTTAGACTACTACCTAGGTGCTCAGTTACATCATTGTGGATGTGTCAGCAGTGTAGAGCTGCTGTTTAAATAGAGCTGACGTGATCTTACCGTATATTCACTGAAATATGACCCGCAAAAGCCATGATGTAATTTCCCCAGTATATGTAGGGTTGGTCAAACCCATATTAGAAACTCACATCCAGTCTGACTGAGGTTTCATATTTTTAAAAAGAATGTGGAGAAACTAGAAAGGGAGCAGAACATAGCACAGAAGCTAAAGAGCTAGAAAATAGGGCATAAAAATGGTCAGGAAGGGGACTGGTTTTACTTAGCCATAAGAAAGCTAAATGTTCTTAATATGTAACTTAGTGTTCTTGGCTTTAAAAATAAAATAGACAAGTTACACCTAGAAGGCCTAACCACCCAGACAGTAACAACATAGAATTACATAAATAGGAACATAAGAATTGCAACAACCGTCACTTAAGTAAGAACTGGTTCTACCTTTTGATTCTAAAATAGCTAGCCAGATCAGGAAATGTGAAAACACCAGGAAAATGGACTCTAGTTGAATGATAGAGTGCTTGGGGTGAATTAACATTTAGATGTTTCATTTTGGGAAGTAATATTCCAACTATTATTTATTATGAGGAAAGCCATTAATGGGGAGGCCAGCACACTGTACCAGTTGCAGATATTTTCAGATGTAGAATAACTCATTCACACAGGCATCTAGCCAGCTGTATTAGCAAGTTATAGCAGGTTTTCTGAATACTTATATAGGACATACTTAACATGTAGTGACATTTGAATCTCCATCAGTAGCAGTTATTCTTTAAAGCTAGGCTGCATGCCAACAGAAAACAAAAAAAACTATTGGCTCTTGGGTCCCTGTCGACTCTCTGTGAGGTAGCTCAGTATTTAAAGAATAATCTAAGTCATTATGCCGGTTTCTAAAATACACCAGGCTAGGATTAAAAATGGCAAAACAACTGAAGACTATTATCAAATGCTACTCTTACTTTTTTAAAGCCTAAAGTATTTTGATAATAAAATGAGATTAAGAATTAGCACCCAATATTTAGTTGCCAGAAAAGGCAAAATACTCAGTGTGGCAGATTGCCAGCACAATACCTTAGACCCTGGACCACCCTGATGGCCACAGGTCAAGATACAGACTCAGCGAGGAGCTGGAGTAGAAAAGTGAAGTTGCTCAAGAGGTTCTGGATGTTTTCTGGAATTAGACAAAACCCTGATGCTTTAGCTCTGCCTCTTAGGGAAGCTTTAAAAAAAAGTGTGAGAAAATGTCTTCTTAGTCCTAATGAAAAATAGAATGCATAATTATCCAATGATCTTGAAATACTTCCAGGATTCTGGAAGCTGTTCAGATAAGCTGGCAAAACGAGAGTTTCCTATGTTCTGTCATGGAAATCCATGCCCTTTCAGCTGCCCTGCAGGCCTTACGCTGGGCAACTGCTTCCCTCCTCAGTCCATTGGAAATCGAATAGGGGTGCCAGGCAGACAGCTCTACTGGCCCGACCCCAGGCCAGCGCATCAGAGAACCCCCTTCTCCGGACAGTGGTTAGTCCAGGGTGGCTACAGGCCTTGAAGAGTGGCCCGGCTTTAAGAGGACAGAAGCCACACGTCCTTCTGGGCCCATCAGCCAGCACATCCACGTAAGCCTGGGATGGTGGGAGGCCACCTTTCTTGCCACCTGGAGAAACCTTGTAGGTGACTGAGTCCAAGGCAGAGGTGGCACCGGGAGGTGGAGAGTGAAAAACAACCCCGATGGCAACGTTGGAGCCACACCCAGCAATGGTAGGACAGACCAACCCTTGGAGGTTATTTTATTTTTAAGTGAGCCAATAAACCTCTTTTTTGTTTCACCTATGTGGACTTAGATTTCTGTCACTTGCCACTAAAAAAGAGTCCCAAATACATGGCCATTTTGCAGATTAGAAAACAAAAGCACAATCATTGTTGAAATCTATTGAAACAAGATGTGAGAAAACCTATTAAATCATTCACTAGTCCATAACCAACTGGATATATGTGGACACAATTATACTATCAGTTTTATTTATGTGAACTTAAACACTCTGGAGTCTGTGAGAGGTTTTATAGTCCAGAGGTTAAGGGAGTCAGAGAGTCCAAAAGTCCCAGCCCCAGCTGATACTGACTGCCTGAGAGGCTTGGGTGGAAGGGGAGGGGGGCCACGAAACCTCCTAAGCACGGTTTGCCCGCTCTCCGAACAAAAGTGGAGCGCTCCTGTGAAACCTGTCGTGAGCTGAAATGGCATACAGTGAAGAAGCAACTGCCATTCATGTTTATGGAAAAATTTTTGAGCGTTCCCAGGTCCAAAAAATAACCTACCCAATTATATCAAATACCACATGAGACCTAAACTAACACGGACACGTGGTAAAGGCAGGGCCGCTGTCTCTGCCCAGCTCACAGGCTCTGCAAGACACGCCGAACTCTGCTGTCACTTTTCAGCAAAAGTCCTCTGGAGTTTTTCCAGTTAGCAAAAACAGGCACTAATTTAGGCCCTTCGTAAAAGTGAAGTGGTGTAAAAATAACTTTCAAAAAGTGGGGGAATAATTGTGTTAACTTTTCTATCTGTAAAAAAAAGGAAGGGCCCTGGCCGGTTTGGCTCAGCGGTTGGAGCGTCCGCCTGCGGTCCTAAGAGACCCGGGTTCGGTTCCCGCTAAGGGCACGTACCTAGGTTGCAGTTTGTCCCCGGCCCTGGTAGGTCGTGCGGGTGGCAGCCACTCGATGTGTCCCTTCACGTCGATGTTTCCCTCTCTCTCTCTTTCTCTCTCTCCCTCCCACTCTATCTGTACAAAAAATGAAAAAATGTCCTCGGGTGAGGATAAAAAAAAAAAAAAGGAAGGATGGTCCTGGCCCGTTTGGCTCAGCAGTAGAGCATCTTCCTACAGACCAATGGGTCGCAGGTTCGATTGAGACCAAGAGCACGTACCTCGGTTGTGGTTTGTCCTCCGCCCTGGTCAGGGTCGTGATGGAGGCAACCAGTTGATGTGTCCCTCTCACGTTGATGCTTCTCTTTTTCCTTCCCTCCCTCCCTTCCACTCTCTCTGAAAATAAATGGAAAAATATCCTTGGGTGAGGATTAAATAATAATAATAATAATAATAATAATAATAAAATAAAATGGGTTAATTTAAAGGAAAAAAAGGAAGGATAATAATCCCAACCTCATAGTAAGGATTAAATGAGATGGTATATGAAAACAGTTGTTTGCAAATTCTATGTAAACAATACAGTGGGTGAAACAGAGCAACGATTCAATAAAGTCCTCCTGTTTTCCTATAAATATGGAACACCAACATTATAAATGAGACCAAGAAGAAGGGTAAAGTACTGGGGGAGAAACTTTCATGCATTTCAAAGTATTAAGGTGTTTCCCCCTACATGCAGAGATATTTGTAGTTACAAAGCTGTTCTGAACATTTATTAAAGCTGTTCTGTTTAAATAAATGTTTGCTACCAATCCTTTGCATACACATAGCAATACTATAATGAGGGGTTTTTGTTATTGTTGTTGTTAATCCTCACCCGAGGATATTTTTTCCATTGTTTTTTAGAGAGAGTGGAAGGGGGGTAGGGACAGGGGAGAAAGAAGAGAGCGAAACATTGATGTGAGAGAGACACATCGATCGGTTGCCTCCTGCATGTGTGCCAACCGGGCTGGTGATCAACTCTGCAACCCAGGTACATGCCCTTGATTGAGAATCAAACCCAAGACCCTTCAGTGCTCAAGCCGACGCTCTAACCACTGAGCATATGGGCCAGGCCAAACAATGAGGGAGTTTTTAAAAGTCAGATTATTTTTGTCCTTATCTCTCTCTCTTCCCTATCTCCTCTCAACCCACCAGCTTCCTTGTTTCCTAAGGTTCTGACACTACCATCTACCTCAATCCAAGCGAGATAGCAGGGAGACATTAATCTATATATTCTCCTTCATCCTTATGCCTTACTCATTTGCCTGTTTATGCTCCATATACGTTCTCACCTTCCTCTGCTTTGCTCTTTCAGCAAAAGGCTAAACACAGCTCGCTACACCTCCCGGGCTCCCTTGCCCACCAGCAGGTGGGCCTGGCCAGGGGAGGTAACAGAACAAGGGGCATTTCTTTCCTCTCTTTGCTTCAGGTGACTGCATCTCTTTGGTGGTCCAGTTCCTTCCCGGCAGCCACAGCTCCTGTCCCTTTGCCCCTCCCGCCTTAGGGATAGTAGCCCTGTTCTTCCTAATCTCAGGGTTCCCAACTATTTCCTCTTTGCCCTTTCATTTTTCTAACACCCCTTGAAATAGTTCCCCATGTTAAATTTCCTCTATGAAATTCACTGGCACGGGTTCTATTTTCTGCATCAAATACTGACTGATAGAGTTCTCTATACCCAGTTAGCAGCCTCACCTTGCTAGTTTTGGTGGGCTCTCTTTCTCTTCATCCCTTCTCACTGCCTAATGCAGGCCATCATCTCACCTGGACTCATCTAGTGTCTTCATTTCTAGTCTCCTAGTTCTGCTTAAAGGTCTTTCCCACGTCGCTGCCAGAGCAAGTGCTCCAGAACAGTCACTTGGTTGTGACCTTGTTGCTCACCTTCTTAAAAACCCCATCAGTGGCTCTTCATCTCCTACAAGAGTTAAGCTCCTCAGCATGACAAAGCTTTGCACAGCCCGTCTCTTTACCCCTGCCAACTTCACCTCTGGTTTCTTAGTGTTCCAGTGACACCGCCTGCTCATGACATTGGCTCACACGGACACACACACACCCCTGCATCCACACAGCCACTCACACACAAACATCCTGCTGCCCCGTCTCTCCGCTCTTCGATGTATGGTGTCCTACCCACCTCCGCTGCTGGCAGACTTGAACTCGCCTTCAAAACGCAGCTCAAAGGTGTCTCCTCTTCTTGTGTGAAGACCTGGGCTGGGCTTCCTCTGGGCTTGCGTAACATCTTGTGCATACTTGATGACTGCATGTCCTACATTTCATCAACAGACCCTGTTTGAGTCTCTTTCACCTAAGTGGAGACTCCACCACGACTTCCTCCTTCGCCTTGTTTCTGGGCTTCCTATCAAGAGATATTGGTTGAAGTGAACGGAACAATACCCCCATGTGCCCTGGAGGCCCCAATTAGGAACTGTGACTTACCCTTAATTTCCTTCTCTTTTACCCCCACATCCAAGCACAGGCGTACCTCGAAGGTACTGCGGGTTCAGTTCCAGACCACCATAATAAAAGGAGAATCACAATAAAGCGAGCTGTCATCTTTTCGCTGGTGGAGCAGCTTGCCTTCAGTTTGTAAAAAAAAGAAACACAACACCTGTGAAGTACTATAAAGCAAAGCACAATGAAATGAGATATACCTGTAGTTAACTAGTCTTAGTTTTCCTCAAGAAATTTCTCTGATACAGGCTTCCCCTTCTATCGAAAAGGAGAGTGTTGCTATGAAATCTCTTGTAAACCAATGGTATAAAACAAAGAAGGAATTACCATTAATATAAAACATTGAGTGTTCCTAGACCCCCCAAATAATCAAATTGTACCAAAAAATGCTTGATTATGTCCAGTTTTATGTTAAGTATAACACTCTGATGAGTTCTCTTAGGCCTTTCTGATATCTTAGAATACATCTTGCTGAAGGATGCACAGGATAAAGGAAGTTGATACGCAGATGCCCTTAGGCACAGTTCAAAGCTATGGTGGTCTGATGCTGACATGCAGAGTGTCATTTGGTGAAGGAGATTCTGGGGGGCCACGCTCACTGCTCAGGGTGTGCACTGCCTCCATAACAGCTGCTGCAAAACAGACACTGAATGCTGGATTTGTTTTGCTTTTTTTGGTAAGAGTGAAAATCCTCTCTGGCTTCTTTCCGTTAGCAAAAACAGGTACTGATGCAGGCTCTTAGTATTCGTAGAAGTGACATGATATAAAGCAAACTTTTGAAAAGAGGGGATACCTATATCTTGATCTTTCTGTCTCAAGCTATTGCTGCGATCTTCTAAGTCATTGTTTTTCAGCTTTCTTTGACCATGACCTGTGATAAGAAATACATTTTACAGGTCATTATGACCCAGGATAGGCATTCTGTTTTTACTGAAGTCACTTCCAAGATACAAACAATTTGCAAAATGCCACCAAGAGGAAACATACTCAAGATTGAAATCTAGTAATTAATTAATAAGCCCTATGTTATACTTAATGGCTTCAACACTGTCATGCTTTGTATCCAAAACGATGGTGTTTATGTTGAAACACAGGCAGTTAAACATGCCACATCTACTTCATTCACTTGGAAGATTTAAATCTATTAAAAGTTCAAATTGCCCAGTTTATGCACAACAAGAAAATCAAATAGAAGTTTTATGAAACATTGACCCTTATTGTGGTGGTCCGGAACTGAACCCACGATCTTCAAGGTATGCCTGTACATATTGTATCTGATCCTCATATCTCCCACCAATCGCACAAGTACATCTGAGTGTCTCCTACTCCGTCTCGCTGCGCCAGGCAGGAGGGAAATGATGGTGGGCAGGAGAGAAAGGACCCCTTTCCTTGTGGAGCTGCCCTTCTAGCTCTTTCTTCTACCCTAGCACATTTGAGGGACACAGCCCGCTATATCAGTACTGGATGTTCACTGTGTCATGATTTTCAGCTCAGGGCATACTCATGGCAGGTTGGAGCGGTGAGGTTCGATGGCGTTTGGGGGTGCAAGTCGATGAAGCACCCCAAGTGATTCTGATGTCTTCCTCTTCCACGTGAATAAGGACACAGATTCAACAAATTTAAAGGACACTTAGTACACAGTGCATAGGTGCTGTGATGGGAAAATAGTTCTTTGAGCAAGCTGGAGGAGCACCCAGGGTGGAGTTGGGTAGAGCTTTCTGGAGGAAGTGACATACGATGACAACAGAAACAGCAGAAGCTGGTAGTCAGGAGGGCCATGAGGATGAGATGACATGGTATAATCACATTCTAGGAATAGCCTATGCTAACGCTCAGAGAAACAACAAAAGAATTTGCAACCATCAAAGAAACTAAAAGAATTTAAGGGCTGAAGGGTGGAGTGCAGGCAAAAGAACAGCTAGAAGCCTAGGTCTGGGCCCAGTTTTGAGTAGCTTTGTTCTGACGGCGACAGGAGACACTGAGGCATTTGATGACGGGGCTATGGCTGCACAGTGCAGAAGGGTTTAGGGGCTGGTAGACAGAAGCAGCTAACAGCCTGACCCATGGTAGAAGTTGGCCATTAACTGAATGTATTGGATAAAGGAAAGAGGAATTAGCCAGGCTTTGATCTGAACAACTAAAGGGGTAGATATACAGGGCAGGGCACACCTTTTATGAATGGTGGTTGGGAGACAGATAATGAGTAGTTCAGTGTGGAACATTTAAGTTTGAGGTGGCCAAGTGGGAATGTTCTGCGCACAGCCAGATACATGGATCTGGAGCTCAGGAAAGAGACCTGAGCAAGAGAGAAACACTTCAAATGCTAACAAAAGAACCTGGGTAAGATCATCCAGGGAGAGTGTGTTGAGTGAGAAGAGACCAGGCCTAGAAGGGACATTTGAGAAACCCCAGCATCTACAGGACCAGAGGAGGAAAAGGAGGCAGCAGAGGAGAATGTTAGGAACAAAGCTATCAGCAGATGGGCAGGTTAACTCCATTCTACTGACAAGGAAACGGGGTCTCACATTCCACAGTTTGGATAGAATTGGGCTTCGCCCTCGATCGGGTGCTTGGTTTTCAAGTCAATTATTTCTATTATACACAATAGCAATAGTACAAATGGGGGCAACACCCTCCTCCCAAACCTTTCCTCGTTTGAATTTCCCTTCTCAGACACTCATCTCAGTTTTCCAAACCACAAGCATTCTCCCTTCTCTGGCTCTCTTTCCTGCCTTGATGCTAGTGATGGACGATAAGGCAACCAAAGGGGAAAGCAAAGATAGCACTCATTTTACCTTGAATTAGGCTCCCAACTAATTCTGAACATGGCCTCACCTCTCCCTTACATGATAATTCACTCAGATTAGGTTCCCTATATCTTTAACGGGGAGAACAGGCTCTGACATTACCCAATGGCCTGAGCTAGGACTGAAGTACTATATAAAGTTTAATCATTAAATGACTTTCTAAGATACTGTTGCAAACACTTGCAATGAGAAAATCAGCTGACGTAACTTGGGTTTTCCTAAACAGTCTCTCTTATGAGAGGGCGTTAAACATGCTCCCTGACACACACTGTGTTTAACCAGGACTAGGTTTATGGTAGCTGACAGGACAGCAGGGATGCATGAAGGCCCTTGCCTCCTTGGTGTGATGTGAGATGAGACTTGGCAAGTCCCCTGACCAAAGTCATTCGCTCTCCCACAGAGACAGTGCACAGAGAGGTTAACAGTGTGGTTTTTGAAGTCAGACTGGCTGGGTTCCTATCCTTTTAGCTGGTGGACACATTGATTCTGAGAATCTATTTCCTGCCTGTAAAATAGGATAACAGTACTCACCTCACCTCGTTATTATATAAGATAAAGGCTGACAAAACCCTCAGCACCCTGCCTACCTGGCACAGAACAGTCAGTAATCATTACCTATTGTCACCAGCTTTTTTTGTGTAAGTTTTGCCCAGGGGTGGAGTGGGGCTCCCACCTGGAACCGACGATTGAGGTTACCTTGTAATAACCCTGAACCTGGGGTGAGGGAGCGGCAGAGCAGGCAAACTCAACATTTTCCAAGAAGCAAACTGTACTAATTCAGTGTTCTTGGGCTTCAGCTTGGTCCTCAAAAGATTTCTAAAGAGCAGTGACAAGGTCGCAGGAGTTGGGTCCCTAACAGAGAACACGTTTCTTGTGACCGCGCCCCTCAAATTGAGAAATAAGACCCCTGACAAGGTGTTGAGAACTCGTCCAGTCTACACCCTGCTGGGATTTCTCCCCGTCCACCACCTGCTTTCCTGAGGTTGACCTGAGCTCACGCTCCAGGAGACCAATTTGTGCGGTTCGCCACCCCCCCTGAAATTCAGTGAATCCATCTATGCGCGGGGCGATCTTTAAGAGGAATTAGTTATGGCTCCTACGGAGCTCATCAGGGAGGATGACGTGTGGTGGCCCAGGGCCCGGGCTCCTGCCCGAGCCCCGCAGCGCCGCCTCTGCGAGAAGCCCCGGAGCGCAGCACTGCACGCAGGGCGGGAGCCCGCGACCAACGAGGTCTCTCCAAGGGGAAAAAGGGGGGACAGGAGGTTTGAGATAGGAAGAGAGCCAGGTTGCAGATGCAACCCTTGCAGTTTGGATGTCCTCTCTCCTGACGTAATGCCAGTTTCCTGCTTTCGCATTGCAGTCCGCTGGCTGCAAAGTCTGAAGATCAATCTACCAAACGCCAAGATAATCACTGCCACTATCTTGCAATTTACTTTCCACGAATACACTTGAACTGATCCAACAACCCCGCCCCCAATTTCCACGACTTTTTGGCTTTTAAGGCGGTGTTGTGCTCCCCTCCCCCCAGGAAGGCCGCCTCTACCACCAGGAAACGCCGTAGGCTGGTGGCTGGAGTGTGGGGCTGGGGCGGGGTCGGTCCAAATCTTCTGCTCCCCCTCACCCCACTTTCGTACCCCAGTTTTTTTTTTTTTTTTTAATTCCAGATCCTTGGCTTTGTTTTAAGCAAAACGACTGTCGAAGCTGCAGCATTTCCGCCCCCTTTCCAGGAATGGTGCTGAGGAGGAGGAAAAAGCCACGGTGGAACGTGCACGCTCCCCACGCCCAACACCCGATAGGGACGGGACTGGCAGCGGCCGCTGGGCCATCTCACGCGCTGCAGCCTCACTGCAGCCCCGCAGTGGCCGCCGCCGCCCTACCGAGCCCGGGGAGACTCCCAAGGGCTCTTTAAATACGATCTATAAATACTACGGGCTCGGGGCGCGCGCGTCACAGCGGAGGCGGCCTCCCATTGGCCACCGTAACCTCGCTTATGTGCACAGCCCGATTGCTCAACCGGGCGGCGACCTCGGCCGGGAGCGCCCCTCCCCCTCGGCTTGCGCACGGGCACCGGGGCCGCAGGCGGGGACAGTGGGTGGCGATCGCGGAGCGGCGACAGCCAGAATCGCTTGAACTCGGGGACCTTTTGAAGCCTGGAGTCCTGCTGCGGTCCTCTGGGACGCCGGCGGTCTCCCACAAGGATCAGTTTTGGCAAGCTGAAGCCCAACCCTTTTAGACTGGATCTTTTTGCTTTCCACAGAAAGAAAAGACAAAAGTTTTAAGGGGTTCACCCGAGCAAACGCTCTGGGTGGCTCGCAGAGGCACCACGTGAGACCTGGACACGCAGCTACAGCCCTGTCCAATGACTTGCGACTTGGCGTGTTCAAAAAAGGCTTTTGCATGATCACTAGTAAGACCTCGTTAGCTTGAAACCGAAACAAAGAGGATTCGGGAAATGTTAAGATGTACCATTCCTCCTGGTTTAAATCTAAGTTTGTTTTTTTAAAAAATGCAACAATTAGCCAGTATGAAGCTGCGGTGCAGAAACGTTCGCCATCGTGCTTCTTGGAGAAGAGAATCTCTTGTAGCACTTGATAGTGTTTGGCGACTGACCCCGACTTGAGTTGAGGAGGGAGGGGGTGCTGGTGGGGAAGGTCCGAAAGGGAGAAAAAGACCACGCTTTGGAGATGAGAGCAACTCGATGTTGTGGAGTCTCACAGGCACCGAGAATTCTGTCGAGAATGCCATTGATAGCGCGAGCGAGAAAGACGCAGATATTGTTGTATATAAATATTAAGATGTTACAAAATCATTTTTCTCTTCGGGATGTAAACTGAAAGTAGAAACCGTTTTCAATTGTTTGTTCCAAGCATTTTAGGTGCTGTCTATAAAAAAGTGAATCCTTTACTTTTGAGTGGGGTGCGATAAATATGGGGATTTTAATTCCTTCACTTGGTTTTGACATGTTCTGTCGTTAAAGCGCACGCAGCATATTCTAAGGTTCCAAGCCTTCCTGCACAATTATCTGGAGGTGACTGCTGGAAGTCACCTGGTCTTCCTGGTTCTCAGTAAATATTAGTGAAATGATTCAGTTAGACAAAAACATGTATTCAGAAGAGAATAAGCATGTGTCAAAATCAAAGATCCCATTGAGTTATATTTTATAAATGTTCTATTTTATATTCTTCTCCTCTAATTAAAACTAAAAGCTCAAACGGACTCTTGTTATTTGAAAACAATACTTTTAGTTAGTTGGAAGCTAGCGGATTTGCTGCCCTAAAAGCTTTTTAAAAAGTACTTTGGATTTTAACAGAAGAGCGCCGCCTGCTGTCACATGGTTTGTGGGCAACGCACCTGAAAGGTAACTTGTCCAGTGGCAAAGCTGGAAAGGTGAACTTGGGGATGTTTTTCACTAACATCTGGTTGTAAGTCACTTTATAATTCTACCTATTTTAATCATTACTGGCAAGCAAATATGATCATTCAATTGTGAATACCACATTACATATTATTCTCATAATACAAACCAGTTTATGCTTTAAAATCAAGATTAAAAGATAGATGTTTTACAGTCATTATACTCTGCCTTAACAGATACCAATAAAAGAGTTTTAATCATTGAAAATATTTTTTTTGGTTCATTCTTTTTTATTATTATTAATTCATTTATTTTTGTTACGGATGTTTCTCCTTGAAAAAGTTTTTCTAATAATTTTAGTAGTATGTGGTATGAATCATCAAAATGGACTTATTTGAATACAGACTACAGTAAGTTCTCACTTAACTTCATGCGTCGGTTTTTGAAAACTGCAACTTTAAGCAAAACAATGTATAACAAAACCAATTTTATCATAGGCTAACAGACATAAACAAGATGTAAGTGCCTGTGGCATACTTTTGGTCACAAAAAAAATCATCAAATTTCAAAATGAAAACTCAAAAACACTTCTAATACTAGGTACTGAAATAAATGTGAGCTATAAACACATTTAAGAAAGATTAACAAAAACAAGTAATATGATTATTTTCCAATTTGCTTATTTCAGTCCAGGGTCTCGGGTGGCTAGAGCTTCTCCCAGCACTATGGGTGCCTGGTAGGAAAGCTCCCTGGACAGACACCCTTCCATCGCAGGGTGCATGACACACCTACACTCACTCAGACTGGGACCATTCAAACATGCCAGTTCATCTAATGTGCACACGTTTGAGATGTGGGAGAAAAACAGAGTCCCCACACAGGCATGGGTAAAACATGCAAACTCCACATACAGTTGCCCCAGCCAGAACTGATCTTTTTCTCTCTCTCATCATTGTTATAACAAAACTGACCTTGAACAAAACAATGTTATTTTATTGTAATATCTGAATATTTACTGCATTTTCCTTTTCTGTTAAGTTTTTAGTGTTACATTTCTCGTACTAATTCATTTATCTGTTGTCTTTATTAATGTCCGGAAGAAAAAAGATTTTTAAAAAGTCCCAACTAACTTTATAAGTTGAAAACTACACATCTTGGCTGCCACTTCCATTGGTTCTTATTTTTAGAGCTGCTCATCTTGAGGAGGAAAGAGCTACATTCAGAGGTTAGCTGCTGGTACAGCTTTGAGTCATTAGGAGGTATGAGGATAACTGGTAAACCACAAAAGACGAGATAGAGAGGTGTAGGTGTTCTGCTGTAAATGCTAATATGGGCATTTCAGTTGCATTCTTCATATTAAGCACTTTATCACCTTTTGTAGAACCATACAGATAATGATCACAAATTATTCTGTGGTTCTCAATTCTCTCTCAGCTGCAGAGGCAGAAATGGAAATGGAGTCCATTATTGTGCTGAAAAATGTATTTAGAAAAAGCTTAAGCATTCTGTTCTTATATGAACCTGGGGTAAATAATCCAGCACTCTTACAGAAGCACCAACTGTTCCAGCTGTTCTATGAATTGGGCTCCCTTTTCTCAGTTAATGGTGCAGGACCCACATTGTTTTCATATGGTTGGCCCTATGGTCACCATACCACAAACTAGTTCTACAGGTAGAAAGTGAATGCTGGTTGTTGGTGTCATTAGAATATATCTGGCAATAGGTTTATTTAATGGTCTTTACAAATTGTCCTATCTATGGAAGTTCACATTTCTGCTATGCACACAACGTTGGAAAAATGTCAAGGTTTAGGGGTTGATTGGATACACGACAAAAGGCTTATGAATTTGTGGAGCTTCACTGCAGGTAGGTTAGCACAGCCCTGAGATTCTGGGGTGATTCATAAATTACTTATTTGCAGTTGACTGCAATGCTGGCTTTCTGACCTTTGACTGGGAGATGGTCGCTACACTGTGTTACCAATGCCCTTGCTTGCTGACAGGGAGGTTAGATGACCCATATGACATGAAGATGGGAGTATATGCTTTACTGTTGACAAAAGTATAAACTACATACTTACTAAACTTGGGTTTTCTTTCTGTATTGACATATGACTTGAGTTTTGTGTATGTTGAGGAGCTCATACATTTTGGGAAAAATCCAAACTACTTTTGTTTTCATAGAAATAAATTTATAGCAAAATCCAGTTGACATTTATTTTTATAATTACGCCTTCAAAATCATGCTTCCTCACTTAAACACACCTCCCTTTAAGTAATTTTGCTCTGTACATCAGGTGGCCTAAAGAATATTAGTAGCAGAATTACCACTTAATGAGAATTTAATAAATATCAAGGACCATGCCATTTATCAATCAAGGACAGAGCTAGAAGACTTATTTAGAGCCAAATAAGTATTCATTATTTAATAGGAACACAGCTACATCCAATAAAAGGCAATACTTTAGGACATAACTGAACTATATAGAACATTATTTTAGATGTGAACTACAGTGAAAGTCACTTTGGTATATAAAACGACCAGTCATTAGCTTATCTGGTTTCTTAGTCAGTTTGGGCTGCCATAGCAAAACACCATAGATGGGATACCTTAAGAAACAGATTTATTTTCTCACAGTTCTGGAAGCTCCAAGTCCATAATCAGGGTACCAGTGTGGTCAGGTTCTGGTAGGAGCTGTCCTCCTGGCTTGCAGATGACTGCCATCTTGCTGTGTGCTCGCGCGACTTCTTTTTTGCATGTGCTTGGAGGTGTGGGTAGTGAGGAGGGGGGAAGAGAGAGAGATATCTTCCTCTTCTTAGGGACCCACCCTCATGACCTCTTCTAACTCTAATCACCCCTCAAAGGCCCCATTTCCAAATACCATCACTTTGGGGTGAGAGGGTTCAACATATGGATTATGGGAGAACACAATTCATAGCAATGGGAATCTATTCCCTCCTTTTATTTCTGTCAAAAAAATAAATGAAAATAAAAATTTGTTCTCTGATACTTCTTTTAAAATTTTTTATTTGTAAATAATTTTAAATTTAAAAAAAGTTCCAAATATAAGATAAGGAGTTCCTTTATATCCTTTACCTGGCTTCCCCTAATGTTAATAACTTATATAACCATTGTATAATTTTACCTAGAGTAGGCAACCACCAGAGTTCCATAGTTATAATACTATAAACTTATTCAAATGTCACAAATTTCCCCCCTAAAACCCTTTTCTAAAATTTCAGGATACTATACAAAATGAAGTTGTTTTCTTTAGTTTTCTCCAATCTATAACAATTTCTCCTTCTTTCTTTGACTTTAGTGAATGTGACCCTGCTGATGAGTGCTGGCCCGTTATTTTGGAGAATGTCACTCATTTGGGGCTTGTCTGATGTTCTCTCAAGATTAGACTGAGCTTCTGCATTTTTGGCCATACCTCAGACATGACCTTGTATCTTTCTCTGTCATTTCAGAGGACACCTAACATTAATCTGTCTTCTTACTGGTTAGCTTTCCTTGATTACTTGGTAAAGGTGTGTATTTCCTGGGTTTCTTCAAGAAATATTACTATTTTTCCCTTTGTAGAGATATATTCTGGGGGAGATTGTTCTCTGATTCTTGATTGTTTAGTGATGCCTTAAAACAGAAGTGGGGGAGGGAAGGAAACTTCCTGCCTGCAATATGCTATATATTTTCACTCTGTGAGACACACAGTGTCAGACAGAATAACGTGAGGTTATTAGTCCTATTTTAAAGAAGAGGAAGCTACATTTTTTTTTTGGTTTTTATTTATGTTTTTGGTTTAAGTGATTTGACCAAGGTTACAGAGCTAAACCTGTGCTTTTTCATTTTGAGTAACTGTTGGGTTTTCCGAAGAACGTACAAATATAATCACAGAATTTGTGACAATAGAATCCAAAATTCAAATTTGTTTAATACCAGAACATAAATAGATTGTTTCTCTAGTTTTCATGTGCTAGAATTTATAAACTCTTTAAAAGCACATGATAGCCCAGTCTGAAGTATTAATTTAAAACCAGAGCAGGCCCTGGCTGGTTTGCTTCAGTGGTTAGAGCGTTGGCCTGTGGACCAAAGAGTCGTAGGTTTGATCCCAGGCCAGGGCACGTACCTCAGTTGTGGTTCATCCCCAGCCTTGGTTAGGGTTGTGCAGGAGGCAACCAGTCGATGTGTCTCTCTCACATCGATGTTTCTCTCCCTCTCTCTCTGTGTCTCTCCCCCCCTCCCTGCCTCTCCCGTCCTCCTACTCTATCTGAAGGTAAATGGAAA